TTACTTGGTTGAGCTTATGGGCATAAACTTCTCCGGCCAAAACCTTCTCCCTAAAGATTGCCACGGCCTCCTTCACCGACCGGAACGGCGCCGACGTGTCAATCTCAGCCCTCTTCATGCTACCCTCACCTCTTCCACCATTCTCCATCTCCAAACTTAAATAGATACCTCTCTCTAGCTCTTACCTTACCAAATTAAATTTTTTAAGAAAAGACATAATACTAAGCACAAACTTAGCACGAACTTATATACATGCGATCAAGATATGAGAGGTGAGCTCAAATTGGTAGAGGTTGGAAGGGAGTGGAGGAGTTTGTTAGGGGGAGAAGGGAGGGGGGGATTGTGATATTTTGCTTAAGGTGATAATAAAATGATAGTGCTTCGTTTCTTCGCGTCCACTTCACTGATATTCCGTTATTTGATGGGGATGGTGTGGGTTGGGTTTGATGGAGGGTCGAGATCAGAAAGCAATAAGAACAAAAGAGGACATGTGAAAGTTGGGAGGGAATAATATTGTGTTTGGATTCATGGACTTGTTGTTTGGTTCACTGCAGCTGTAATTGCAAAATGAGATATATATACATAATCGTAATTAATTATTTTGGCTATTGTAGCATATGGTTTTACAATTCATACCAGCAAATTACAGCTATAGACGTTTGTTTTGGAGTTTTTTTTATCGGAAATACGACCGCAATTTTGTGTTGCAACTTGGAGCATATCTATAGTTTAAAAAGATGACAATTGAGGCCTATGCAGATTGATTTGCAAGCCTTGCGAAGAGATCCATTTTGTATCCGAAATCATGGAACAAACTATGGAAGCATGATATGTCTATATGATAACCGTTGATCTTAATTGAAATTCCAAAAAAAAAAATGATGTGTTAACTTGTCTCATGGTTGACCTCATATACATGTTTGCTATATCCACTCTCAAACAGTAATTTTGGGAGTTAGATTGCCGAAAATGCCCTTTTGATGTTGAGAGTGTTTCTGGAATGGACTTGGCCTGTTTTGGTTTGGGAGAAGGGCAATTTAGTCCTCACATTCCCCCAAAAGTTACTGTTTGGGAGTGTGAATAGTCGGACCCCCTCATATAGTTTGGGTCCAAAAGAAGCACTTTTTTCGAAGAGCAAATATGTACAACTGCTTTAATAGCTTCGATAAAACAAATAACTAAATTGATCTATAATGTCTCATTTTAATACAGTCGTAGCTGTAACCCTTACAAGTACAACTAACTAAAAAACCCATTGGCACAAAAGATTCATCTCTTCAATTGTAACTTTTTGATAATATTTTGAACGTTATGAGTTTATTACGAATATAATTAATGTTATGGACCAGTAAATAACATTCCATTTCATTTTCATTAAAAACATCATAATTGTTTATTAAATAATGATTAATAATAGTTAAAAATTTAATCTTTTTACTATCAAAATGTAACTGAAAATATTCCAATCTAAGAGGGAGATGGGTCACCTACTTTATACTATCAAAATATAATTGAAAACGTCATAATTGTTTATTAAATAATGATTAATAATACTTTGTACGTTTGTTAAGCAATTAGTTATTCTTGTTTCATGCTCTTAATATATTGCCACGTTCTGGTGAGTGATAGTTATGAGTTTTCACATGATGGAAAAAGAAATCTCATGGTTGTTTCTTCGAGGGGTGGCATGGAAAGTTATCAATAACTATCAAAACTATACTAAATTCCCACGAAC